GGAGGCAAAATCTGGAGAACAAGCCAAGGTCAGGGTAGGTAGCAGACAAGCATAGTCAGGAGCAAGCCGGGTCAGGAACAGAGGCCAGGCCATGAAATCAGGACAAACACACACAGAAGCTGCAGGCCAAACAGCAATTAGCCAGTGCAGTAGTCCTATTTAAGGCCGTTTGGTGGAAGTCTTGGTAACAGGCACCCACCCGTATGTGCAAGAGCGAATGTGCGCAAGCCTATGCTCATTCTTGTGCACATCTGCCTGGCCAGCTGCCGGTCTGCGCCTGCGCATTTTATGCATCGGGAAACCTTGTCTGTACTATGAGCAAGCCTTTCCTAACAGAGTCCCTACTCCCCGGGCACAGCGCTAGAAGGATATCAGGCTCAGGTAAGTATAAAGGGGGGCTGTGGGGGTCTTGGACACAGAAGGTTTTTTACCTTAATGTAGAGAAAGCCTTTAGAACCATTGTAAAGATGACTTGCTCTGCAGTTATACAGGTCAGAAAGGGCTTGTTTTAAAATTCATTTGCGGATTCTTGAGAAGAATTAAACACCTAAATATGTCCATAGACTGGTCATAGGCTAATCAATATTTAAATACCTGTGTACCCTCTCTTGCCCACAAGTCCCTTTGCTTGGCTACTATTCGTTTTACTCATGGCTGCTTTACATATTCAAAACTTTCTTTTATACAGTACACATTTTTTGATATTGTATATTTTTGCGAAAGCTTGTTGTATGGTTTATTGGAATAAAAAAATGTTTTAATAAATCTATAGGGAGACAATAAAATTACCTTCATTTCAGCTCTCACAAGTCATACCTTTAATGATGATTTGTACAATATGTACTCTATGTACTTTATTACAAAGCACTTTTTCTTGAATGGTAGCAAAACCTATCACTTTCTTGAAGTTCTGTTTTGCTTGCTTTTTTCTTTTTGACCTCTCCTGAACTTCTTTGCTATGTGTTCTCTTAAAATCATGCATTTTTCATCTGATGTTTTGATTTAGTATTTGGAATACGTTTTATGCATACATAAAGTGTGTCTTTTGAAACTACTTTTTAAAGCTTTGCTTTTCTGATATTTTGAGTTGAATTACTAAAGGCAAAAAGGCTACTCACTTTGCAGAGCAATTTTACCTTAGTTTTATAAATGTGTTGTTTTTTTTTTAACTAGTTCCCTGATCTCCTCCTCCCATGCACGTCTCCAGGACTTCTCCAGGGCCTCCCCCATCCTCTGGAACTCCCTACCCCAATCTATCAGACTATCACCTACTCTCCTCACCTTTAGACGCACCCTGAAAACCCATTTCATCAGGGAAGCCTACCCTGCCCTCAGCTAATTGCCGATCTCCTCCACTCTTCCTACCATTCCATCCCCCACAGCTATTTCCTCCTGTACCACTATCCCCTCCCTCCTAGATTGTAAGCTCCAAGGAGCAGGGCCCTCGAACCCCTCGTGTATCGAATTGTATTGTTACTGTACTGTCTCGTGTACTGTCTCCCATTGTATTGTGCAGCGCTGAGCAAACTGTTGACACTATATAAATACTGTATAATACTAATAATAATAACTGCCCAATAATCATATGCAGCTAGTGACAAAAGGGGGAAGGAATCCAAAGTACGTTTTAAAAAAGGCAGAATGCATAGAGTTTGATTTTCTGAAGACAAATAGACTGTTCACTTTTCAAGAGAAGAAAATTTTCCCTTAGCTTGGTGAATCAGTTGAATCTCTGCTTACTTCAATCATCCAATCATGTTCAAGCAAAAATACAGTTTTTTTTTCCTTGTGCTTGATTGAGGATTCTTTGCATGGTAAATTTTCATCACATTTGCCAAGCTATGGGGAACTTCCCTTTCCAAAGTTAAAATTCCCTTGCAAAGTAAACTACCTACAATTTGGGGAATAAAAATGGGCTCACTAATGACAAACATTTGCTACTAAAAACATCTATGTTATTCTCCACAGCCTTTCAAAATTTGCTGCAGAGAACCTTTGACCATTAATTTACATCCTAACCTTTAAAGAGACAAATACTGAACCTTCTGAGCTCCAGTGCTTTTGGGTAGTTCTTCACTATGATGGCTCATGGCTCACAGAAAGAAGATGACTATCAGGGAGTGTCAAAGCTTTGTCTCTTAGCATTGCCTAAGAGTTGGCCGCAACAGTGTTTGGGAGCCTGTTGCAGGTATGTGCCTTTAGGTGCCTGCACTACATACAGTACCTGTAGTCGTTTTTTTTTTTTCCCTTCACCAGTGAGATGGGCTCTTTACAACTGTCACAAGCCTGGATAATTTAAATTCATGTGACGCAAAATGCATAAGCAGTGTTGTTTGTTTTCCCTTTAAGTCTATAAGCCTACATAAAAAGTTAAGTAACTATTTTTTATCTAATTCTTGGTGTTCAGCAACACAACCTTGTTATAATTTGCCAGCAGAGGCAAGGGAAAATGTACCCCTCAAGACCAGTACAAATAATATATGTTGGATTCAGGGGAGGACTGACAACTCATGGGTCCCCCGGGCAATAGGGGATCATGGGGCCTCTGTGTCCTTGCCCACAATCAAAGCACACCCAAAAAAACCTATAAAAAGGTGCCAGGGGCATCTCATGGGGCCCCCTACTGACCCAGGGCCCTCAAGCAGTGCCTGAGTGCTCAAATTGTCAGTCCGCCCCTGGTTGGAATGATATTCCTTAGTGGATATACTCCCCATTCAGACCTCGATTATATCCAGACAGCTGTTGTGTGTCATATGGCTACCCTGCTGTAGGAATATTGTAATATATATATATATATATATATATATATATATATATATATATATATATATACACACACTGCATGTGGTGTATTCTCACATTCTTGGACAGGCCAGCATAGGACTGAGCTAGATGTATTTTACACATTAAAATAACTCTTTGCTATGTTAATTTTATGCAAGGTCACCTTGGTATTTGGGGAATAGCCTGATTATCTAATTAGACATTTCAAAGGGTACATGTTTAAGGATGATAAAGAATGTGATTTGACCATACAAGAAGTATTTATTGATGGTAATTAGACTCAAGGGCATATTATATGGTGAAAGGATGACTTGATTACCTAGTAAACACTATAGTGACCTTAATTGTTATATATAGTAATGACAAGTGAAGTCTTTTCATGTAAGATCAAAAGTATTTTAATGGAAGTTATTTTGGCTGGGAGAGGAGCTTCTTCCTTTCATTAATATGGAAGCACAGGTATAGAGGAGTTTCTTCCTTTCATTAACCTCCCTAGCGGTCTGATTATGTCAGTATTTCTGTGCTCAAAGAGGTACATTTTTTTGCATGGAAATATGTTGCTTTTTATTGTAGGCCGGTAAGTCTTAGGAATAACTCACTGAAATCTGTTTGATTATATAATAATAATAAATTTAATTCAATAATGTAATCAAACCAAAAACACTGATATTTGAAATATAGCACCAAGTTCACTGAGCAAAGTCGCAAAATCGTTTTCAGTGTGTGATGACGAATTTCCCCACGAATCATTATCGCTCAATTCTGCAAGTAGTTCTGATTTACTATCGCTGTTCTCTAGCTGGTCTAAAACCGCTTTTGACCTAAAGGAACGCTTTTTGGACGCCATGGATGTTTCTCAGTTTCCAGGCAGAAAGAACAGTAAAAATGCAGGCAGGGCACAGGACAAAGCACTCGGGACAAAAGGTATGTGAAATGCATTGATACAGTAATGTTATACTATGTGATTTTAGTGTATTGAGTGAATCACATTTTTAAATTTTTTAATTTCCCGCCGGTTGCGTCCCCCGTACGTCCCAACGCTCACAGGGAACGGAACCTGGAAGACGGATGCCGACATCGGCCGGAGGAGATGGCCAGGGATGCTGCAGGGAGGACATTGAGGGAGCACAGTACAAGGTAAGTGGTGGAGGGAATCCCTGAGCAACGCTGCAGAGTAATCCCGAGTGTAGCTCGGGGTTACCACTTTTGGTACTGAAAGTTAACTCCGAGCTACACTCGGGAATACTGCCAGGGGGGTTAATATGGAAGTACAGGTATAGAGGAGCATCTTCCTTTCATTAATATGGAAGCACAGGTCTTGCATTATTGCATGCATGGAAGCTACCTAGATGCATATTATAGATAGGACATGTGCTGGACGGTGTAGTTTCTCCATGTTGGATATGAAGTATTTTAAATAGGACTCTGAGGGCTGTTGTTTGTAACAAATATCTTTATCCAAATAAATGCATCTCTCTGGATAAGAACTGTTGGACTAGTTGCTGCGGGAAAGTACATTTATAAATATACACTGGTCATACGTCCATGAACATGAGACAAAAGATTTGTCTTATGAACCGTTTCTGTGTGGACCTCATAAATTAAGAAAACACCTGCTTCCTATTAAGACTCGTGATCACAGTTTTTGGCAATGGGAAGTCTTCCACCATTAATTTAATTTGCAGCTCTGAGTTATGTGACCAAATTCTGAAAGCTGTAAGTGCCAGGTCATGCCACAAAAACAACATGCATTCCGGATATGTTTTTGCTAACAGTTCACACCACACTCTTCTGGTGCGGTTTTTTGATGCAGTTTGCAATGTTCCGGCATGGTTCTGCGCAGAAAAAATGCAGCACGTTCTACTTTTTTTTCTGCACCGGAAACTGACTGCAACTGACTGCACTGGTGTGAACTAGGGCCATTGGAATACATGGAAAACACTGTGCATGCATTTTTGATGCAGAAAAAAAATGCACTGGACTGCATTTAGTTTGAAAAAGCCCTAAAGGAAGCCAGTGCTATATAATGCAAAATTGTAAAAAGTGTTTCACCGAATGATAAGGATTATACTGTATGCGATGATGGCAGAGTGGTTAATCTACTAAATCTGGACACTGAAAAATCTGGTTCAGCCTTTCCCCCTAAGCCAATTTCCAGTGAGCCCCGGTGAGGGGCGGACTGACAACTCATGGGGCCCCCCGGGCAATAGGGGATCATGGGGCCCCTGTGTCCTTGCCCAAACTCAAAAAAGCCTATAAAAAAGGTACCAGGGGCATCTCATGGGGCCCCCTACTGACCCACTGACTGGCAGTGCCCGAGTTTCCAAATGGTCAGTCCGGCTCTGGCCCCGGTGTATCGAGGTGTCAGTGGTGAGCACATTAATAGGATACTACTTTTGTCCTTTTTTACAATTGTGGTAAGTAAAATTATAAAATAAAATTGGATGGTATGTAGTGTGGATATATATTCCTGATTTTGCTGTTCCTAATGATGTTATTGTAAATTCTTATCAATGTCCACTATATTCTATAGAATGTCTCTCGGCCATCCTTCCTCTTCAGCTTAGCCCTGAAGAAAGACTATGTTCTGAAACACGTCGGCTTTTTCAGCTGAAGTTTACTCGTCTTTCTCTCTCTCCTGGCTCACAGAAGAGAGTGAACAACATTTTTTCAGCCTACAGCAAGTTTACAGGCTTTTTCACCATTCTTCCTATGTATGATTTTACTGTCTACACAATGGCGTTTTACAATGTTGTTGAAATAAAATTATTGATATGTTTATACCACTGTGTTTGAGTTGCCAGTACAAATTGCAGGGGAACCTACCTTTTGGTTCTCTAACCTTTTGGGATGTTGGCAACTGATGGGTTGATGAATCCAGTGCTGGATCCAGTACTGGTGCAGCTCTAATCAGCTTCCATTTTTTTTTCTGTTAAAGCTTAATTGAACAGTCTGAAGTTAGAAGCTGACTGCTTACCATGAACATATGCACCAGATTCTGCACTCTCTAGTTTTAGAAAATCAACCCAATGTAGTATTTAGTAATAAAGTGAATAGTGAGCTCAAGGAACAAATGTAAAAAGCAGCTAGCACAACGTGTATAACCCTTCGTCTTCACTAAACAGAACATAATAATAAAAAAGTGCAGCGCTAAAGAATATGAATAAATAAAATAAAATGAAAACCAGTATCAAATATATGAATAGTAAACATACAGGTGATGTACAATAACAGGAAGTCCCCAAACAAGAAAATGATAGTCCCAAATATGTGATGTGATCAGCCAAGCAGATATATATATCAGTAACTTCTGTGATTTCCACGTTAAAATATAAATCAATATCAAACATATAAATTGTAAATGTACAAGTGATGTACAATGGTATAACGTCCCCATGGGCAGATCCCATTGGGAACGTGCGTGTGCACGAAACATGTCAGGGAGGAGCCTATGTGCTGACATCATGCTACCCTGTCCATGTGATGGTCCAGTGGCCATCTTTGCAAGTGTTTTTATACTTTGTCAGAGCTCCACATGGTTGCTATATTTTACAATAAACATACTACACTATATGAGGCTGTTTCTGGGCTCGGTTTATGAGCTTGCTCTTTAGGAGGAATCCTATCCCTGAAAAAGTGTGGACTGGAGATGAATATGGAGCAAGTTTATCCCTAAGTGTCAGTTTGTTCCCTTATGACTTGCTGCTGGCTTCTGGAGAGATCTCATCCCTGGATAGACCTGCTGACTGGAATATGAGAATTGAGTGGAGTTTCCCTTAAGTGTCAGTTCATTCCATGCTGGTTTGCTACTTGCTTCTGGTGAGTGCATAATGGTGGAGGATTAACGCAGAAGTCACAGAAGTCACTTATACTTTTATTTTCTTTGGCTGATCACATCACATATTTGGGACTATCATTATCTTTTCCCTGCCTGGAGACTTTATACCATTGTACATCACTTGTACATTTACAATTTATATGTTTGATATTGATTTATATTTTAACGTGGAAATCATAGAAGTCACTGATATATATATATCTGCTTGGCTGATCACATCACATATTTGGGACTATCATTTCACTGCTTGGGGACTTCCTTTTATTGTACATCGCCTGTACGTTTACTATTCATATATTTGATACTGGTTTTCATTTTATTTTATTTATTCATTTTCTTAGCGCTGCACTTTTTTATTATTATCCAATTTAGTATTTGATTTAGGCAAGTCTATATCATTTTACAGAGCAGTTGTCCTCTTCTCCAATTCATAAAGAAGTACTTAATTTACAATTGATTTTATACAATCCCCCATTTCTGCATACATTTCACTATAACCAATCACTGCGACGCCATGTCACACTGTGGTACACTTTCTTTAGTACAAAGGGAGCAATGCCTACAATGAAGAGGCCAGTGAGTGGTGTTTGCTTTTTTGCTTTTCAGGCCAAAGTTACCAATCATTTCCTGTTTGACAGTACTGATTGGGTTAATCATCTTCCAGCAAAACTAATTCTTATATGTGTATTAGTCTCTCTATATGACTGTAAAATGTAAATTCCACCATACGCTCCTTCAAAGAAAATAATTGATTTGAACTGTTCAATGCTCTCTGGAGTGCCACAAAATATTTTATGGCTTTGTAAAAAAGAAAAAAAATTCAACAGATGCTATATATAGATGCATCTACATTACCAAACCTACAAGAAATGTGTCCTGAGAGGAATATGGAGGCCCTCACTGGTGAGTGCTCTTTATAAAAATGCTGCCTGCCTCTCTGTTATGCTGATGCAATACTTTCAATAGATACTGACCAAAAGGTGTTTTGTTATTGGCTTCTGCCCAATGACTTAGAAAGGATTGAAATCAGAGACAGCCAGGCAAATAATATGTATAGAATGAGCTCAGAGGTGGCATATCATATATTTCTCAAAGCAATGGGTTTCCCTAACATTACATTCATGATTAGGTGTGTGTGTATGGTAGCAGGGTGTAAAAGTAATCTGTCAGTAGATATTACTAATTCTCATGAATTGCTCCAGTACAACTGTGCTGGGTTAACAAAGAATATGAATGGCTAACATTCTGGGCTCCATTCACAAAAACATCTCACATGTGATATTTAGGTGTCCTGACACATTTTGCCTAAATATCACATGTGATCCTGAAGCGATCATTTCACTATACTGGTTTGTGCATTTACTGTAAAACGCTGAAAGCACTCGATAAATACAGCATGAACAGGCATTAAACTCAATACACAGGAGGAAATAAATAATTAAATGCATGCGGTGATTAAGTAGTAGTCCAGGCATGTGGTATTTAAGGAATGTGTATGATTTTAACTGGTTTTGAAAGAGTGGGAAGCTGCCAGTGTCCTTAACCCTTTGACTCCGATCGCAAATATGCGGCCTCTTGGCATCTGGGCCCTGACGCCCAACGGCCACATATTTGCGTGCAATTAAAAAATAAATATGTGTTGAGAGTGCACGCCCTGCACGCTCCCAGCCAGGGGCGGACTGACAACTCATGGGGCCCCAGGGCAATAGGGGATCATAGGGGCCCCGGGCAATAGGGGATCATGGGGCCCCTGTGTCCTTGCCCAAACTCAAAAAAAACCTATGAAAAAGGTACCGGGGCATCTCATGGGGCCCCCTACTGACCCCGGGCCCTTGGGCAGTGCCCGAGTTTCCAAATGGTCAGTCCGCCCCTGCTCCCAGCACATATGTATGCTACTCCCCGCCCCGCCTCCCAGCTTCTGAAACTCTTAAAGGGCCGGGAGGCGCCGGCGCCAGGAGGTTAACAACCAGTGAACAATATGATTGTGAAGAAGATGGCAGCCAAGGTTTCCTTAACAATCAATGAGTTATGGGGGGCTGGAGTCTGGAGCCCCCTTGTTAAAGGGGGCTTCCAGAATCCAATAAGTCCCTCACCAGCAGATCCCCACAACCACTGGCCAGGGTTGTGGAGAACAGGTCCTTATCCTCATCAACATGGGGACAAGGTGCCCTAAACCACCCCTCCATGTTGAGGGCACGTAGCCTGGTATGGTTCAGGAGGGTTGCTTGTTCGTCCCCCCCCTTTCCTGACCTGCCAGACCATTTGTTTTTATTTTGGTGTGTGTTTTCTCCTTAAAATCCATTCCAGACCCAAAAGGTACTGGTATGGATTGGGGCGGCCCCATGTGTTTTTTTCAGTAATTTTAAATGCAGGCAATTCTTTTCGTTACATTCAGCTGTGATCGGAAAACACCACTGACAGCTGATGACTCATTGGTTGTTAAGGACACCAGCTACCGCCAACGTTAAATTACCATAGGCTTTGACTGCTAAAATACCGCACGACTTCATAAAATAGTGAACATGGAATTTTAGCAGTGGTTTTTAGTGAATTGCAAAAAACTTTTTGAAAAACGCTGTGAAATATCATACCGCATACTCAGATGCAGCAAGATACTGCTTTGTGAATGGGGCCCTCTGTAGTCTAAGTGGTTTATCAGTGAGTCATAGTCACATTGGGTGACAGCATCATATGCAATGCGCAAACAGCAGAAAGTCACTTATTGAATATTAATTTGCAATTGCACCCAGAAGGTCGGTGGGGGGGAGGGGGGAGGGGGGGGGGTTAATATAAAAGTTTTTTAAATGTCTGCTGACAGCTCATTCAGCTAGCTAGCCCTGCTGGCTTTTTCAATACTAATATAGTTTTAATAAAAACATGTTTTTCTTGAACATGGAGCAGTGTAAAAAATAAATGAATTTGATCTCCTATTGATATTAAAGTTTACACCCAATCAATAACATCTCATATGGGTATAAATACAATTTTAAAGCTCATTTTCAATCATTTTAATCTTACAGTTTTTAATTAATATAATACCAAATGATCTTGCCAAGAGGGTCCATGTTCAGGCACTTTCTGTAGTAACAATTCTCTGTCCATGTTGGCCAACTGTGCTCCTGTATTGTCACCCTATCACACATGCTTCTGTAGGAAACTACAGTTCACCATTTCAACAAATATTACACAGCCATTGTAGTCACAATCCAGAAAACCGCCCTAAAACTGCATGCAACAAACCGCCCTACTCATGGGGCCCCCGGGCATGGGGGGCCCCGGGCAATAGGGGATACCCCTGTGTCCTTGCCCAAACTACAGTTTGCCATTTCAACAAATATTCACAGGTCGCAATTTCAACAAATATTACAAAGCAGTAAGATACACCTTGTGAAAGGGGCCCTCTGTAGTCTAAGTGGTTTATCAGTGAATCATAGGTCACACTGAGTGAGAGCAATCATATGCAATGTGCAACCAGCAGAAAGTCACTTATTGAATATTAATTTGCATTTGCACCCAAAAGGGAGGTGGGGGGAGGGGGTTGGGGCTAATATAAAAAAAAATATAATGTCTGCTGACAGCTCATTCAGCTAACTAGCCCTGCTGGCTTTTTCAATACCCTTATAGTTTTAATAAAAACATTTTTTTCTTGAACATGGAGCAGTGTAAAAAATAAATTAATTTGATCTCCTATTGATATTAAAGTAAGTATAAACCCAATCATTAAAATCTCATATGAGTATAAATACAATTTTAAAGTTAATTTTCAATCATTTTAAACCTACAGTTTTTAATTAATATAATACCAGATGATCTTGCCAAGAGGGTCCATGTTCAGGCACTTTCTGTGGTAACAATTCTCTGTCCATGTTGGCCAACTGTGCTCCTGTATTGTCACCCAATCACACATGCTTCTATAGGAAACTACAGGTCACCATTTCAACAAATATTACACAGGCATGATTCACTGTAGTCACAATCCAGAAAACCGCCCTAAAAATGCCATGCAACCAGGGGCGGACTGACAACTCACGGGGCCCCGGGCAATAGGGGATCATGGGGCCCCTGTGTCCTTGCCCAAACTCAAAAAAGCCTATGAAAAAGGTACCAGGGGCATCTCATGGGGCCCCCTATTGACCCCAGGCCTTGGGCAGTGCCCAAATTTCCAAATGGTCAGTCCGCCCCTGCATGGAACCATCACTGGAGGGTATGCACACATACCAGCAGCACTAAATGTAGCAAAAGATGAATAAAATGGATGAAAACTAGTATTTTATATTTAAAACATATTATTTGTTTATGATACGCAGTTCTTTAGCAAACTAAATGTCTTTTAGTCAGAGTTTACACTTACTATAATTACAAAAACAAACAAAAAGTGTGCACTTCGATTTTAAGCAACTTTGCTTAATGTAACTGACCGAATTAAAGAAACAATTTGCCAGAAGCTAAATGTTAAGTTAAATATCAAAACTTGAATATATTCATAAGAATTTGGCTTTTACTATAATACCTATACAATAAATAATGAAATGATTGATCCAATGTCAATAGCTGGGTGGAAACTTGCAGAAAACTTCATATTAAAAGTTAGATATTCACAACAAATTATTGACGCTGCTAACCATTGACAAACACCCACACAGAAAGAAACGATCAATGCAGATCTAATAATCCCAGCTTCACAAACCTAAGCAGAGATAATTAGATAAAATAGCAAGTTTTGCATTTGTTTCATACTGTTTTGAATCATCAGTACATTTAGAGTGGGGATTAAAACAGTACGTCTAACTCAAAGTCCTAATAAAATGTAATATTTGTATTCCTAAGAGCTTCCATCTGCTTATCCAGAATAATGGAGTGCATATCTCCAGCTTTAATGAAGGAGATGAATGGAACATGTCACTCCTTGTCTTGCATTCTAAAGATGTCACCCACAAACATTTTGAAGCTGCCTGCCCTTACATTACTAGCATCATTATGACTGATAATCTTTGGCTTTTAAGTTGAATAATTCTCTCTACACTTTTTAAAACCCAACCTTGAAATGTTCTGCCAGAAAGCTCGTTCTCATGTCAGGATGTTCTATTAGAGTCTATGTTTAGCTAACTGCAAGCCTTTTATCTATAGACATATCTAGACAAGATAATTGTAATAATTCTCTCAGAACAAAATGAAAGCTTTCAGAAGATTACATTCTAAATAAAAGATGCTTATTTATTTAAATAACAATGTTACCTGTGCCCACTGATTTTTCCTACTCAACCTTTTATTCCTGCAAGCTGAAACTTTTTTTTTTTTAAGTCCAGTAAGCAGTACAGATACTAACAACCAGCATTTCCCTTTTTAAATTTGCTATGAAATGTTTACAGGAATTTTTAATGGGTGTCAGGAAACACCCCTTTGCTTGTAGTTATTTCTACTACAGAGTGCCTTTCTCAGGAGCTTATAGCAATTAAATTTACTGCAAAGACTTCAAGGAAACCACACATCTTGAAAACATCGTTTGCATTCAGAATATATAACTTTCAAGTTTTTTTTCTTTGCTTATTAATATTACTAGATAAATGATATTATCTTATCGCTATAAATCACAAAGAGTAGAAACACATGCTCTGATTTAAATTCTTTTTCACTAAGGCCATAGACTTTCCCGCTTTGTTGATTATACTTCCATGGCACCAAAAGCCTATATAATTTCCCCACACAGAAAAGAGAATAGCTGACATCCCCTTAAAGAGATTGACCAACAACTTTAAAAGGCCCAGTGACCAATTTGAAGAGCTTGTTTTAAAACCCTATGGATAAAACTATTTTACCTAATACCTGTGTAATTGTTGCATATATCAGGCTTAAATCTTAGCATGGCCCTTTGCTATTACTTTTGCTTAAGGTGACAGTAGCCATTTTAGTGTGCTTGCACTTGAACACTGTCCATGGCACTTTTTTTTATTTATTCTAACATTTACATTTTTAGAACAAGAAGGGAGTTATCTGGATTGTCCCCTTCCTCCCTGCCTTCTTCCCTATCCCTTCCTTTGTTCATTTTTTGTCTGTAACATCCTACTGGCCTATTCCTTCTCCTTTTTCTCCCTCATCCTCAACCTCTTAAACTTTCTTTTCTTTACTATCGCTGTGTTTTTTTTCTTATTTTTAAATACTGGTTCGCATTTAAAAGGTGATCGTGCACAATTTAGGAAAAGGGATAGTTGTAGGTGTGGCATACTGATTTTATTCTGGATAGCTACATCTTGCACAAAGTGTTTTAAATGTGAATTGTACTTTTTTGTGCATATTACAATTTGGACTGTTTTTTTCTGTTGCATAAAGAATTTTTTTTAAAATAGGAAAAGCTTGGGGGGGGGGGGTGTTTTCTTCCAAAAAGTGTTAGCAAAATGTTAAGTAGGGAAATCTCTGAGAAAAGCACATGCATACACACAAGTACACAATGGAAATTAAAAGGGTATGTTGGCAAGATAAGAAAAGCAGTGGACTATGGAATGGGAGTAAGAATCACAGAGGTAGGAATGGTCATAAAACTGGTGAATAGTTATTTCGTCGATCTTGTGTCAAATAGAATTATTATTCATACCTCAAAAGTTTTCCTTTGCTGCTTATTTTTAAAGTTCCCTTTAAGAATCAAAATGCATGTCTTCTATACAGTGATTCGGTTGTGAGAAATGATGTCCAATAGGTGTGCAGTAATCACCATCCTTATGTTATTTTATGGTGTTTTTTTTTTTTTTTAATTGCCGTCTTGTTTCACCAATGTAATATCATGGATTTCATTGAATGAAGTACACCTTACTGGAGGTACAGATGCATCATCCTGTATTACTGAAAGTCACTTTTACATGTGTAACACTTTTTAATGGGTTAATGTGGCTTCACAATTTGCAGAGCTTGTTAATGAAAGGTTTTGTTTCCTTGTTTGTGTCTCTGTAATCAGAAAGAAGCTTCCTGCTGATTAAACTATGCCTGATTTTGGGTGGTTGCCTAAAGACTAGCACAGGGGTTGTTGGAACATTTGTTCAGAGTTGTTTCCTCTGTTATGATGGGTTGCAGCTTTTTGGCTGTCTCTTTTATCCCTTCTATTGCTGGATTGTATGTGCTTACTAGATGTACAAAGTTTTTCTTTTCTTTTCTTTTTGCATTGTAGGAGAATTTCTCTTTGGGTTGAATGCAGTGTCTGTACTTGTACTGATGGTTTTGTTCCTATAGCCTTTCCTTTAGAAGGATTCTGCTAGCATTCTGAGATGTTTATTTTTTTGGGCTCTAAGTCAGAGAATATGCGGTAGTATATAGTGGCTTGGCTGTGTATTCATGTGTAGTTCATTTGGAATTGTAAAGATAGTCCGTCAGTGAGATTTTTGTTTTATATATATTTAGGTATGCAAGACAGAAATTACAACCATACCACTGTATGGAAGACATGAATGTTTTAGCTTGTAAAGTAGGGGTTTCAAACATTTCAAACAAAGGGTCAGTTTACTGTCCTTCAGGCTTTAGGGAGGCCATACACTGGTGTTGGTGGGAGGAATAGTGCCCCATTGATGGATTCAGTGGGAAGAATAGTATCCCATCATTGTTAGTGGGAAGAATAATACCCCATTTTTGGTGTCAGTGGGAGGAATAATGCCCAATCATTGGTGTCAGTGGGAGGAATAGTTCCCCATCATTGGTGTTAGTAAGAAATATAGTGTTTTTATCAGTGAGAAGAACAGTGACCCAAGGGCTAGATGAAGGCAAGCAAAGCTCCACATCCAGCCGCAGGGCCACAGTTTGGATACTACTGTTGTAAAGGAAAACTTCAAAAATGTCAGGGAATAATCAATCATTTTATTTGACACAAAAGATAATGGACTAAACGTAAACCTTACTTTTCTAAAGCACTTTCTAACAGTTTTTATCCCACCTTCCATTCCACAGCCCACGCCTTTCCTGATTTTACCAGCTAACCCAATTTAAAGGAGAAATAGGGACAAAGCTGTTTTGACTCTACTTCTCCTATAGGTCACAGGAGTGCACTTCACTCTGCTCTCCTGTGACCTGTAATCAGTTGACAGAGGACTAAAGCCCACTGTTGGCTGAAATCACTTAGCTTGTCCAGACTCTGGAGAGATCCCGACTTTAATGCTGGGATCTACCCAGACTCCTGGACTGGCAGCTGGCATAGTCTATTGGCAAGTTGCTCAGAGCCTGAGCAAGCTGCTCCCACCCTCTCCACAGCCCTGCTCTCCAGTGAGTGCTGGAGGGGAAGAGTAGAGACCTGGCTCTGCTCACTGCAGATCATGAACTGAGTGATCAGTGGTGTAGAGGTGGTGGGGGACAAAAACTGCATCAGATCACTGTTGCATCCACCTTGGTGAGTATAAATGACTGTTTTTTTTCACCCCAAGCTTCTTTTAATTATTGCTGTGTATGTATTTTTTTTTTCAGAGATTGTCCTACTTAATATTTTGCTCAAACTTTGTGTGCCAGTACTACTTGGACTGAGAAGAAGGGACCAGCCTGAAAGCCTGTCCTGAAAATGTAAAAGTTCGTGCAAATAAAAAAAGGATTATAAGCAGTGTTTAGTTTTTTTCTGTTTGCTTTGTTATCCTATCTAACAGTACTTGTACATTTTTGCAAGACTTATAAAACTTTTGTAAGCTCTTTATTGTACCCTCTCAACTATCAGTCCTCTCTTTCAGTCCCTAGGCAATAGTAATGAAACTCAAGTAAAAATCAAGTTTACATTCAGAAACCTGCACAAACACAACTTCGTAATTTATCCTTTCCCAGCTAGCTGTACGTTAAAAAAGTGACAGTTGTAAAAGAAGGGAGAATGTCTGTTAAACGTTTACAAGCATACTTTTAGCAGACACATGCTCTGCTGCAATGGATTTACGACTTCTGAAGGTTAAGTGGATTTTTACAGTTTAAAGTTTTTAGGAAAAATATAGAACTTTGACTATTCAGAGTAGTCTTTTTCAACTCAGGTCCTGGGGAAATGTAGGGTTCCACCAGGCGTTGAGAAAGGTACCTATAGAAAAGAGCAATCACAAATTGATTGACTGCCTTCACTAACCACAAATGTAAGGGGGTCTCTTCTACATTTACCGCTGGCCATTATTATTAGATCCATTTCATGCATGTTACTGAAAATAATTCTGTAATATATATCCAGAGGTTAAATGTATCTATGGTCAAAATCAAACATCATATATTTCCATAATATCAATTATTT